ATGTAATGAATCACGCCATCATCTATTTCTATATTTTGCAATATACCCAAAGCTACATTAATTGATTCAAGAACGACAGCGAACAAAATTCAACACGGTGCTTCTCATTGCAAAAGATTAATTGCATACAAGTTTCGTTTCATTGGAATGAACCGTTATGAAGAACAGAGAAGACGTGAAGGAGCGGTTCGAACCGTGAAACAGAAACAATGAATGAATAATGATGGTGCATTGGCAGAGCAGCCGAAAAGCCCGGGCAATTCACACCTTAGACGAACAAGACAGAGCCTCTCGAGACTTTACGAGCGAGAACTGCCACGGTGTTAGGTGTTCCGCGATTAATCACCCTGAACGAGAACACGTTGCACCCGTTGTACCGTTTTGTTTACCGACTCTCGTTCGCGGTTCTTTTCACCCTCGACGCGGGACGGGGTGGCGTCGGGTTGTTGGGAAGTTTCGGTTCGAACGAGCCCGACGAAAAATAAGTCGAGCACGACAAAGTTTCGCATAGCTTGTTGCGAGGTCGTTCATCCGGTTGCCAAACGATCGAACTCGAAACAGGAAATAACGAGTTCCGTTTTCCGTTTCGAATGCCGGACCTCGTTCGTTCGGTTTCGCGAACGGTGTGAAATTAATTGGATTAAACCGCGGCTGGCGACGAACAATCAATTTTTAGCAAAAGTAGAAACCAATCCATTAGGATTCGAATCGTATTAAACGAGATGCTATGGAAGTTCATGCGATTCGGTTGCGTGTTGTAAAACGCTCTTTACACAATTTTGTAATTATTTTGCTAACTAAATGAATTGCGGTAGTAATATTTGGAAGCAATCAATTTTTGATGAAAATAGAAGGCAATGCATTACAACTCGAATGGTTTTTGGACAAATATATCGAAAATTGAAAATTTTTATGAAAATTAAATTGGTTACTTAAAACTTAAATTAATTTACAGTGGTAAAATGACTATCTCTATCCATTAAAAAGCATCATCGTAATCGAAGTGAATTAAAAAATGAATTCGAACGTAGAACCACTATCATTCCCATCAACGTAAAAAAGATAACGATGCAAACGCACTTGTTAGAAACATTTTTATTATTGCCTTTTCCATTTCGGCGTTTATCGCTTCTGTTTCAGATCGTCGTAAGGATAAGGGTGCATCTTCGAGATACAGTCACGGTTTCTATTAGAACGACGCGAAAGTCTTTCGAGCTCCAGGCTGTTTCCAGCACCGTTCTGCTCGCTTCTCTCTCATTTTTTTTTTTGTCTACGTCTTCGTTGGTGTAATTAAAAGATTACGATCAGAAAGCTTTCGCTAGACTGTCCCCGATTCGCGTTCAAGTAATTTGCAAGTTGGCCGGCGTCCTACAAGAAAAAACTTTGCCTGAAATACGAACGGAGCCTTCCTTGCGAGATTACTAATGATTCCATGTTTATTTAGTTTTGTTAAAAGATTTTAAACACTTTCGAGAATCTTAATAATTTTTTTAACTCGAAATTACATTTGCATTTGCACACCTTATTTTCAATTGAAACGCACAATTGCTATTAAATGGAAGTAAATAAAGGTCTAATAAATTAGGGTGGAAAATGGTCATGGAAAGGAAACTGAAAGGCCACGTGAAAAATCATTTACAAAAGTTGCGATTGGGTGAAGCACGATTCGACAAGAACAGCTCGGAAGTCAAGAAGTCTAATTAGCAGCTGACGAACAAAAAGCACGAGCACGATTCATGGTAGTCGATCGACGACACAATAATTCGTCGCTGATTGAAAGGATCCAACACGGTTAAATACGCGAGAATCAAAGCCGATCCCCAACGTGTTACTTACGCTCGAGCGGACGATTAAGCGATGTCGAGTGTTTTATTTAATGTTGAAGGTGAAACGGAAGTAATTACGGCTCCTCGAAGCGTAAAGGAAGGTTTCTAGGAGAAAAGGGGGAGGGCAACAGAGGTGGAGAGTATGCGGTTGCGAAGCTGTGGCCCGAGAAATCAAACGGAGAACCGAAGAGAGTACAGAGAAGGCGAAACTGGTGCTTGATTGAGCAAGTGGTTAGATAACTTGACCACGCCAACACAAACCGAAAGCATTTTGCTAATTAAAGGGCCGATTAAAATTCTATTCTCCGCGCGTTAATATTCATTAATTTAATTAACACTTCGATGGTCGCGTGTTTGATAGATTCAATGACTTTGTAATTTTATGCTTTATTATAAAAAAAAGATGGTAAAAAGATGATTGGAAAATTATATTTGTTAATTTTCTGAATATTTGATGGTTTATTTACTTGCATCCAGGTTGAACAAAATTTCCCTTTATGTAGTATTAATTAATTTCACTTCTGTTCGATGGTGTCCGCCAATTTATCCGCGACCCTTTTAAAACATCAATCTGTATATTTATGAATCCACCAAAACAAATATTTCCCTACAATTTTTAATTGAATCTCTTGTCAGATTGAAACAGGTATTTCCAAACTCGATGCTTCAAATTTCAATAAAAAATGAAAAATTTTGATTTTAAATTTCCAACATGAAAGCATATTAAAATGTTGAAATATTCAACTTTTGGATAGATTGAAAGTTACCGAATCGAATTTCAATAGGTATCAATGGTTAAACATGGATTTACATTAATGCAATTCACGGAGAAACATTGATGAACGTGTTACAAATTAAACCAATCGATGGTGTATTATAGTGGAAACAACCTTTGAATGAAATATCAAACAACAACGTAGATATATAATGAGGTGGCCAAAGTACCTAAACGCATCTCTTTATCCCTTTCGGACAGGTGCGAAAGGTAACCGAGCGGAGACGAGTGGAGTCGAGTCGTGGCTTTAATTTCTTTTTGTTCCGCTTTATTTACACGAAACGATCCATTGTGCGCCGTCGCGGGTAATGCACAAATTGAATCGACCGACGGCAACAGCCGCAGAGTATACTCGGACCGCGTAATTTCGTAGGTTCGCGAGTGAAAATGAGGGCTTTTTAACTCGTTTACCCGTTGCGGTTCTAACGAGGCGGTGGCAGCGTAACTCGCCGCCACCGTGCGACAGATCCGCGCGGAAAGAGGCAGACACGGGTACCGATTGTTTGGCAAATGACGTTATAGCCGCGAATCGAGGTTCCCGAGGGACGCGAAACCACCTTTGATCCTGCGAATTCGAGCTGCCCGCAAACGCGTTCACGTCGATACCATTCGATTCCATTCGATTCGATTCGTGGCCTTAAAGTCGACTGGTACGGGCTTGTTAATTGCCACGAGAGATTGATGTGGTTTCAATTCCAGTTTTCCTCCACCTGCTCGGTGATAATTGATAAACCCTATTTGTTTTTGTTTCATTTTTTTATACAAATTTTCATTTTTACAGAAGGAAATCTATTGAATATTTCATTTTTAAATTTCTCTAAATGGTTATTGTTACGTGTGTTCTTTTGTTGCGGCGATGTAATATATCCTTTGAAATGCGAAAATTCTCGTTGTAAGAATGGAAAAAGTGTTGTATAATAATCAGCTTATAAATGTTAAGTAAATAAATCATCTGTACTAATTATTTTTACCCTGCGATGAGAGATCTTGGAGAGAGACCCAATTTTAATTCAATTTTGTATTACAAATTTCGCAGTTCCAAAGTTAATTTTAATTTAAAATAATAAAAGGTAACGAATGGTTCGAATTAGGTACGTTAATAACCGGTCTGACTGATTTAAGTTGATGAACCTGAGCGGGACGGGGCAAACGGTGACACGGAAAATCAGATAGAAAAGAATACAGCCGGGGACACGGGCGTTTCGTTTACTAATTAAACCTTTGGGGACCGAGCCGTTCCTGGTCGAACGCAAATTTTCTACCATCCCACTTTACGTTCCAGTCGGCATAATTACACACATTGTACGAGCAATGCCGGAAACGAGAGATACACGGACAACTACCCGTCATACGGTAATTAATTAGATTTCGTGTGATCCGCGCGACAGCATAACACAGAATCTCCAAATTGATTTTTCGGTTAATTATTTGCTCGAGTACGTGGAAGCCACAGGTTGATGTGCCTTATTTAGCGTTTTATTTCAGTGATCGAAACAAACCGGAAAATACGTAGATTTTCACGGTTTCATTAAAAATAAATAAATTAAAATAAATTTGCAAATATAAGTATTGCATTAAGAAATATTACGTTTTCTGAGACCTTGGATTACTGGAATTTTTACCAACTTCCGGTTTACTTGAACGAGAAGAAATTTACAAAATTACCTTTAATTAACAAAATCGAAAGAAAAAATGTTTTTGCAGGTTGCCACTAATATTCTACATCTCGTTTTTGTTTTTTAACAGACTACGTACATGCCATATATGTTTGGAAAAAATGTAGTATAATTGAAGTTTCATATAAATTTCACGAAAAGTGATTTTTTTAACCAAATAAATTGTTCAGAATTTGATTAAAATTGGTTAAAAACTGCACGATAAAAATTCCCAGTATTATGGTACACTTTCAGATGGAAATGAAAGCAAAACGATGGAAAATTTGAATCCATCTCGGTCTCTAGCGATTTAAAGCGTCGAATTCGCGTAAAACTTTTGCCCAACGTATTTAATCCCGAATATTATATTTGACGCAAATACAAACGTTACTAAAATACTCGTCGCTTGGCGTATTTACAATTTCGTCAAATTATATATATTTAATAAAATGTAATACCTGTTTCATTAAATCTTCATATCCAATTTAAAAGAAAAGATAAAGAAAGTATATGTATATACAAAATATTACTAATTCATAATAATTTCAAAAAGGAGTCGGAATGCATCGCGTCGGACACTGACGACCCTCGTGAGAGGGTAATAGCGCACCTATGGGGAGTCAGAAGGATCAACCCCTCTACTAAAAAATTTTCATCCCTTAACTCACAAGTACGATTGCGCCACTGTGTGAGCCACCGTATTAAGAAATCGAAATATAAAATATAAAATATTTTTGTACTCACCTATCTCCTGGTTGGTGATCCTGCAACGGCACATGGTACAAGCAGCAAGAAGGAGAAGACTGGAAAGGGTGGTGCGAACGGAGGCAGCCATCTCATCCCTGGGCATCTCGACGGCTCGACGGCTCGACGGCTCGACGGCTCGACGTCGTGTCACGTCACGTCACGTCACTGGTAGTCACACCAACGACACGCGAGTTCTAATCCTGTCTCTTCTCTTTCGTTCGATCGCACTTTCGTGTCCTTCTTTCTCTCTTTCGATCGCTCGTGTCTCCGTTTCAACGAGAGAACCACAGGCCACCCTCGCGTGGTACGAGCTTCCTCCTCTTTCTTTTTATTTTATCTTTTTCCAACGGAGCTAGGAGCTGCTGACGCTCCTCCAGCTCTCTTTTCACCGAGTTAACTCGCGCCAGCCACTCTCGAAACCACTTTTTGCGACTCAAACTCTCATCCGTCGATTGCCGGGACTTTCTTTCTCGCTCGTTTTCCTTTTCTCCTCGCCTCGTTGCTGGACAATTTTTCGCAATCTACGGGACAGAAAATCAACTCGTCAACGATCGATACAGAGAGGGAGAACAATGGTGATCGGTCACTTCTTAGCGAGGCATCGATCGAACGCAAGTGGCTTTTATGGAATTCAATTGACGCGACCTCGTGTCACGAACGCACTCGCCACTGCCTTCGATCGTGAACATTTGTTCGTATTCAAATATTATATCAAAGTTAAATTCTTAAATATAGATCTTTTGATGTGTGAGAAAACGTCCAAGGAACTTGAAAAAACTAACCCTATTAAACGGGGCTAAGGAATAACTGGGCTGACTTTTTGGAGATTAAATTATTGACTTGTATCACTTAAAATTACGGTAATTGAATTTTCGAGCACCCGTCCAAGTTCTATTTTTTTATTTCTTACAATAAACAGCCCCTCCTATACTAAAATCTACGATGTCAGTCAAGCTGAATGCATAAGATTGATAAAAATGAAATGCAACGTAGCATAAGATCCAACGATGTATCGTAAAATTCCCAGATGGCAATCTAGCCTCCATCCGACTGATAATTTCTTCTCGATCGCGCAATATTCCGGTGGAATGAAAAACTCCCTCGACTCGAACGGGACAAAAGGGCAAGTTGAAAACTCGTTATCGCCAGATTCGCGTCGCGTCGCGACGCACTCGTACCATTCATCGCGCATCTTTTCGCCTGGTGGAATATCGCGAGCTGCGATATCGAGCTGCGAACGTTAACGCGTGAATTTCACCGGATCGCGCCACTATTCATCCACCCTCTGCTACACCCCTTTTTCACCCTGTTTCGCGCCCACCCCCTCGTGTCCCAAACGCATCTCACCCTCTTCATGGATCCCATTCTGCTGATTTTCCTTTCTCGCGAAACGCAAGGGTTCCTATTCGTTTCCAACAACGATCGCGCACCCCCGCTCCTACCCTCATACCCTTCTATGCGTTGCTTGCTGACGTTATGCATTCGTTGTAATCGGGTCCCGGTTCTTTTTCTACGCGAAAGCCGGCTTTCGCGAAAACGTTGACGTCAGGGGATGGAATGGTTTTTTTTTTTATGCATCGACCGCAAGATTTCTGAAACAGTTATTCCGTCGACGAGCACGGGGAGCGGTGAAGAGGTTTTCGTGGCAGACTTTGAGATGCAAAGTGGTATTTGGTAAAACTGAACAACCGTGACGATCCGGTTAGAGGGTCGCTCTTTCGGGGACCATGAAAACGTTTGGGAAACACTGATTGCTGTGAATGGAAATGTTGATACAGTATTCGGAGGAAAGTTTTAGGGTGAATTTGAAATTGAGAGATATTCGCAAGAGAAATCCACTTTGACCGATGTTGCGTATTCGTGATTTTCATCTTTCATTTCTTACGTTGTTATCTCTATGAGATACTAATTATTATATCGAAATGAATAAGTTTGGAGAATACATTAAACAAAATTTCTATTAAAACGTTGACTGCCACGCTGAGGCTATTAAATATTTCATTTCAAAAAAGTTCTTATGAAAATTCAACATTTAGCCTCATTAATTTGATACACTTAATCAGTCAAAATGTAAAGTGATAGCAGGTCGAATCTCGATGGTATCCGAAATCCCCGAAGAAACGTCATAATACAAGGAGCGTAATGGAGGTAGCTGTCGGTCGATTTCCATGTAAATGCATCGTGTCGCGTGCAACTATTCGGTGGTCAGCAGGAGACCGAGATTGAACCCTAACGATCCTCTCTTCACTGATCTCTATACGGCCATAAACGTGCCGGCGCAATAAGAGCGGGCTTGACAATAGGCGAATCCGACGGGCCACGGGAATTCGATTGCACCAGATATGCGCTCCAAATGCAACGTCAGTCTTTCAACACGCAGGAAAAGCCCGAAGCGACTACTCTTCCTCCCCTCGCCTCCCCCCTACCTTTTTTCCACTTTTGTGCCACGTTTCCAACCCCACGCTTTATGAATATTCTTGGAATTTTAATGCACTTTTTGACGATCGCCATTCACGCCAACCGGCTCCCGGTCCTCGTCCCGACGTTCTACGCGCCTTGGCACGCTCCCCGCACACGCGGAACGTGCCTCAAATTCGCGAACGCGTTCGTCGAATATTAAAAGGAATATAAATGAATGGGACGGAAACGACCCGAATCCGGACCGATTCGCGTATTCGATTCATCCCGGCTTGATTTCTTGCATTCGTTGTTTCCTGCACTCCCATGCAACAAGACTTGTACTCGTTCTCAAAAAATAAATACAAAAGATTTCTTCTAAATAGTTCAGATTTTAACATTCAATTTGGAACAATTCAAAGTTCTTGTTTGAAATTATAGAAATTGTTAAAATATATGTATTCATCTATTAATTAATGAAAGTGCCGAAAATCATTTCTTGAAATCTGATACTAATTAATGATAAACCTTTGTTCATTAAAAATCTATATCTGCGGTTGTATCTGCCTAAAACATATATCCTATTCGTAAGAATCAATTCGCTCTGAACGTAACTAATTATAAAAACTCACGATAAAGGTACTAATTACCTATTTCACGTTTGAAATAAAGTTTCAAAAAGCTTTGTTAAATATCCATTGTATTACCGTTGATGTGGCTAAAAGCAGACATAGCGGCGACCGCAAAGGGTTCAAGTAGAATTAACTTTCAACCTTTTCCGCAATTTAAATATTGCAAAAGTAGAATGAAATTTTTAAACGAAAAATATTCTTATGGAATACTTCTTTAAGTACCATTTCCTATCTCTGCAATAACTGTCTTCCAAAGGAAAAGTCGTAACACCGCTACGCTCGTTTTTTCTCCTCGCAACTTTTTCTCTATGTAAAAAATTGAAAAGAATAACTTCCGATTTTCGAAGAAACTTCTGAAAACAGTTTAGGGAAGTAGAGGGTCGTTGCAATCTTTATTAGCGGAGGGTGGAAAAATCTTTGGTACCAAAGAAAACTTCTGATAAATTGATTGCTGCGATCCATGGCAGTGAATTAGAAACGAATAAACGTGAGAAAAGATACAGTTTCTAATCGACTCGACCATCAGGTAGGAAATCACTGGGTATTCAAGGGACGATGGTCCAGGTAGGGTTGCGCACCGACAAACGCCACGTCGGTGTCTTTCGAGAGAAACGATTCCTTGTTATTTCGTGACCGCGAACGGTCGAAATTGTTTTCCCAACCGCGGACCTCTTTCAAGAAAATTGCTGGTTAACCAGCGACCAGCGTCTAATTTAGCCTCCTTAAGCGTAACTATAACGGTTCCTGGGATCGTAATACTTATTCCATCGCATTACGTGTGAATCCTTCTTCAAACTAACAATAAGACATACGACACCGCAAATCTTCCAAAGAGCGTTCTTTTCATCGAAAACAGAGATACTCAATTTGCCAAATTGCAGATCGTTTTTTAGAATTTTAATTTTTATAAAATGTTGATTGTGGATGAATGAAATCTTCTTCCTTAATTGATCTTAAAACAATTAAGGGATTAATTAGGAGGGAACTCTTAGAAAACGAAACCGTCAGAACGAGACCCCTTGTTCCTTACACGAGCTTCTAAACAGTTTCATTGGCCCGAAAGCTTCCTTGAGAGTAATTTAAATGTGCCAGCTACATTGGCTAGAAACGCTCCTCTCTTTGGAGACCGATTATTTACTACCACGCTCGAGCACAATGCTTCTATCGCAAGAAGCTGCAATTTAGCGAGCAGCTTCTATCATTGTCTCGACTTTTTTTCACTGATTCAATTAAACTCGTTAAATTCACCACTGCTAGAGCTCGTCTTTACAACGAATAAATTAACGATCTGTATTATCTTGTAGATGTCCGACAAATTCAATTTGGTTTTTTGAAAAAATTTATAAAGAATTCTATGTTGAAGGCATCGTGGATAAGTAATGTATTATGCTAATAGATTAGCAAACTTTTTATTAATAAAGCTGAGAAACATCGGTGGAATCATAGTCGTCACGATGAATAATTAGTTCTCCGAAATTAATTTTAACAAGGATTAAAGAACAACACGACCCCTTAGGATTCTGTACGGGAATAAATAACGTGAAACGGTTCTCTCGCTTCCGAAGCTTTCGGGAGTAATTAATCTTCCAAGTGGCTTATAATCGAGCCCCTCGTTTAAACCTATCCCGAAAAAATTTATATTAAACATCTGCGATTCAATGAAATTTCCGTCAAATAGAATAAAATATTTGTAAGAGCAAGAGTGGCCCCTAATTGCTGCAATATTAATAACAAGAGTACTCATTCTGATCAAAAATAACGAGACTCGGATGGTGCTCGCACCAGCGAAAAGACATCTCCATTCTTAACTTCACTACAGAACAAGAAGAAGAAGAAGAAGAAGAAGAGGAAGAGAAACGAGCATAGCCATGCTAAATCATAATTACATCGTCTGCTGCTCGACTCCTTTAAACTGGGTCGTGAGCATCTTTTACGCCTCCATCGGACGCAACTGCTGTAAAAATGAATAAGAACGACAGAGAAACGGAAACGATGTCAGAAGGAGCGACGTAAATTCTTATAACTAAGTTCTTCCTCATTCGATTCGCCAGCATCGTGAATGGAACAGAACACGATTGTTCTTATTATTCGCGTCAATTGTTTCCGATCGATCGACACCTTATTGCGTGAACGAGCTCCTTAACCCACCCTTCGATCCATTAACCCTTACGTCAACAGTCGAAATTATCCACCTTGTTCAATGTCCACGGTACCCGGCTACCCCATTCAGTCAATATATTGCACTTACTATTATTTACTAATTATTATTTATTAAAAATATTAGTTGGTGTAAAATTAATAACAAGAAGGCGCAAATAATTTTCAGAGGAACAGTGTACAATAATATGAAGTACAAAATTTATTTAAAATTGGGGCCGCCTTCTGTAAATTAACCGAAGGTATCACGAATTAAATGAAAGTCAACGTTTTAATAAAAATCCTCACGATCGATTGACGAGTCTCTTTTTTCGATCACCTATTCCATTGACCCCCGAATAATTCTGTAATTAAAGTTTTCCGATCCTGTTAACGAACTTCCTAGAAAATCCGATCGCCCTGGCACGATTCGACCACACGTGTACGTATGCATGTATGACGGTTCACCGTGAAAATTTGGCGACGAGCAACGCTCCAGGCCCCTGTCTTTGTACTAGCTGACATCGACTACTGCGGGCATTCGCTCCGAGAGCACAAGTTTTAAGTGGATTCCTAACCGCAGACGGCCGACAGTGCAACGGGTTTCTTTAGTCGTAATCAACGGGTTTCAACTGGTAATTTGCGTGAACCTATAGTGAACTGTGCGTATCGTAGTGAAATATTGAAAGTCTTGTACCAGGTACGTCGTGTACCAAATTGGAGTTAGTTGCTTGAATGAGAAGCTCAAGGATTCGGAACGGGTCCGATGTAAACAAGGACATTGAGAAATGCGAACATAGGAGAATTTGTACACAGAACATCTACTGCGTATTCGTCTGAGGTGACCAAAAATTAAAGGTTGTGAAAGCATTGAATTTTTGCGCTAAACAAGTTACTAAATAACATAAATATTTAAAGAGAAAATATTTTTAATAAACTCTGTGAAATAAAATACTGAACACTTCAAAAATAATTAATTTTTAAATGTAGGTACATACGTTAAAACTGGAGTGAAAATAATTTTAATCCATACTCCACTCTCAAATTTCCGTCCTATTTAATTAAAGAAAATCTAATAATTTCTGTCGAATAAATTCTATTTATTATTAATGATGCAAACAGCAGTGTACGATGTCCTCGCAGCAGACCTCGCCTTGTTTCATTACCCAGAATGTTATTATTATAAATCGACATAGGTAATCGCATCGGCGCGCAAATGAGTGGCCATTAAAAACGGCGCCCTATAATCCAGCCGACGGGCACAGGGGGAGGATTGAATTTCCATCGATCAGAGAAACGGAAAACGCCACGTCGCGTGAGACGTCCGCATCACGAAGGATTAGACGTAAGAATCCCGGTAGAAAAAGGATATTCCCTCTTCGAAGGCGGCAAAAACGCTAATCCCTTCTCAGTAACCTAACCGAACATAACCTAACTCTTAGACGCAAAACGATTCGCTTACCTGTTCTACAAGTCGTTTCCTTTTCCCAAGAATTTTCCAGATAAACGATCCATCGTTCACAATCACATCATTTCCACGAGAGTGTGTGTCGATCGGGAGCAACGATCTCGATACAATTAACAGCTCGTTAAGCCGGTGCGTCGCGTCGTGTCGAAAGTCACCGAGAACTTCTCCCACTGCGAAACAATTCACTCGAGGTCCCTCGAGTAAAACGCTTCGACGCGTTCCTCGAATGCCTCGGTATCCGCGGCCACGCACATAGAAACACTAACACACTGGCTCGTTCACCCTTAGCCACGGGGGTTAACCGGCGTTGATCGTTACAACTTGTTGAAAAGTTCGGAGGATCGAAACTCGCGCGCGTGTTACCGCATAGTCTTGCGGTCCGGCAGCGACACGCGTGCAGGCCCGTCAAGCCTGCTCCGTTCTCGTTCTCATTGTCCATCGCGGTTCGCCACGCGACCGATCCATTGTCTCTCGAGACAGCGCTACCGGATCTTTCGACAGGTGTTGCCAAGGTATAATTTCAACGAATCGAAACGGATATATCTTATATAAATCCCGTGTGTCACCGGGTACACTGCACTTTTTTCAGCGACACCTCGATCACAGGTTTCATTCGACGGGGAGATAACGGAATAGGAAACGCGGATGTCGTTCGCCGTCGCAGAGCGCGCGCGGGCGGTCAAGCAACCCCCGGTGTCACCAACAGCAGCACAGGAAGGCAGAGGTCGTGTCGCAAGGACTGCACGGTAATCACTGAGAGACGCGCTCGGTGAGACACGAGGCGCGCGCCGCCTCGCAGACGGAGCGCGCCCGGAAAAGGCCGAAGCGTACCGAGCGGCCACGAGCGAGCGAGAGACGGACGAAAATGTACGCAGAGAGAGAGCGATGGGCCCGCGGCCAGCCCGACCACCTCCAGCCACGAGATTTCCTTGTCGCGGCTTATGAGGATGCATGTACTCTTCTCTCACCCCCGTCGAACACCCCCGTCACGCCCGAACGATTGCACAGGGGGATGAAACTGCATGCCGCGATTTTTTTCGGTTGCTACTTGTAACTCGGTACTTTGCTGTGGATCATCGTTTCTCTAAGGGATGGTTTATTTTAAACGAGGATGATGATGTTTGAATAGATTTCTTTTTAAGGATACATATGATAAAGTGCGAAGGATCCCTATGATTTGAATCTGGAGGTGGAGAAAATTTTTCTGATTCTAAATTCTTCTGATTTAGAGGATTCAGATGATTTATAATTTAGCAGATATAAATCCCATAACCAAAATTCTAATTTATGGACTAATATCCTATATAACATTCTCAGGATTTTAGTCTCTCTAGCAAATATTGAACGCAATTGTGATAAACAACTTTACGGCAATAGGGTTGCCGATACCTTTCTGCAAATATTGTAATATTAACACTGTATCACATAAAGCAAATTATTCTATTTGTAAATAAATTCAATTAACAGGTAGTCGATGACAGAGATACAATGAGTGTCAATCAATAAATATCTTTACACAGTATTAACAACATATCGCCTGTATTCCGTACTGAAAATATATTGATTAATATAGCCATGAATATAATTAACACGTACATAAAGTACACGAAAATTACTAGATTTGTTTCTGATAATACAATCAATATAATTATGCGGATATTGTATCGAACGTTAAAACTTTCCTGTGGTGCGATAATGAAATGGATTTAATTTTTGTGACGGATCATCGATATCGTAATTAAACCCTAGATATTTATGCGTTTCATTATGCAAATTTTACACCTAGCCAACGTTGATTATACAAAACTTTGGGGTATGAAAATATTTTCTTTCAAAAGAGAAGACATTACCGCTACGAATAATTTGTCAAAGTTCGCGGTTCGGATAACACAAAGTCCCTTCGGCGTTTCACGAGGTGGTAATTCGTCGGATATTCGGCGCGGTAATGTATCGAGGTTTTGGAAATGTAGATTTTTCGCCGGAAAATGGCACCGCTAATGCAAAACATGTGTTCAATTTACAGGGACGTTCGTGATGACAGCGCCGGGGAAATGTCCGCGTATCAACACGTATGAACACACTCGCATACGTACATATATTTTTATATATTTTTTTTGTAGACGCATCGGTGACCACGTTATGCCATGAAATGTTCTATTTTATAGCGTACCACCGAAATGTTGCCTCGTAACGTGACGAAACAACGAATTACAACGCCCCGCGTTGTATACGACGATAAAGAACCCTTCGGAGAGGGGTAAAAAATATTTATTTGAACGTGTGATCGCGTTAGGATCGATCGAACAAGCTTCTGGAAAGGTGTCGTTGCCGAACAAATCGGACGAACCATTGTTTCATCTTATTCAAGCCGTGTATTTCCACTAAACTCGAAAGTTTTCTCTGGCGCAACGCTTTCGAGCGTGAAACACGAGTCCGTTGTTTCGCGAACTTCCTGCCACGTCTACGAAATCTGCCCGGAGATTCTTGGCGAGCCGTAAAGTCGGGAAATTTGCATTTCATCAGCTGTATTTATAAACGCTTTTAATATTTCCCGAACCTCCGAATACTTTGAAACTGATGTTGACAGTGCGATGGTAAAAACGGCTATGTAATCTAAACACAAACGGACTAGTTCTGATCGCTGATTCTAAACGGAATTGACCTTGTTTTAAATAACACAATCGTTTTTACGATATTGGAATATTTTGACGAAGAACAGTGAAGACTTGAAACAGATAGAGGAACATCTGTTTTTATAACTACCAATATTGGAATTGTTAAACTATTGAGAGAATTTTAGAAATAAATTACATTTCAATATGGTTTGAAATAAACGATACAAATTGGAAAAATTTTCTTGCGAAGAGATTGATCGTTAATATTGTTAGCCAAGTGCCTTGTTAAACATTGTTTCCTTCTTTTTCTTCTTCAATTTCAGTTTGTATTCTAACCTTAGTAAGGTTACTTGTACGTTTCTACGAACCGTTCAATGTTTACGAACCAAAGATCTCCTTCAAAGCCCAGTTGATGAATTTCACTTCGCACCGAAGAATTTTTACACTCGTACCAGGAAAGATTTTTAATTGCATCGTCACGCTTTCATTTTAATTCACTGTTCTTTATTTAAAAAGAGGAAAGAGTTCTCTTTCGCTCAAAAAATAATTCACTTAACATCCTATCAGAAGACTATTGATGGACTTTTCAACGCCGGCGATAATTAACTGAAAACTAATTAATAGGGCTTTGAGCGTTAATGATGCATTTGTTACTCGATCGAAGTATACTGTGATAAGGAAAAAGTTGATAATACAGTACTGGAAAAATTTATTTCATTTTTATAAGTAGGTAGATAATCAGAATGGTCAACTGACCCCATACGACAAACTCTCGTTATATTGTTACGATAAGACTATAGGTGTGACAATACAGCAAGAGTATTTTCGATGCAGCCTTTAGTTATTGAAACTCTAGTAACGGGAGTCTACTGTATTAAGAAATATAAAAACAAAAATAGGACATTGTGGTTGTACTACTAAACTAGCATGTTCATTTTCGTTTTCCACAATTTTCTACTAAAAAGTAGGAAATTTCGAAACTCCCTGTCATCGTGAGAAATTGCACCGAAACCGTGATACACGTCCAAGAGACGTCTCGTTTTTATTCATAGACTATATTCGCTAGAGAAGGAAAGAAACCAAGCGATCCAGCCGGGCGAACGAAATATGTATAAATAAATCGTCGTTCGGATTACACGTGTCAGAGTCGCGAAATATCATGATCACTGGATACACCGGATGCTAGTCGTACCCTTCTGTCCAACAGCTCGAGGATCCTAGGCACGTACGTTTTGCGTAAAAGAGCCACACGTTCGGCTTCCAACCTTCTCGACGAATACGCCGAGATTTGCTTGTCGCTGCTTATGAGAATGCATACACTTCCTTCTACTGAGTGGATCGACCTGAGTGAAGATCACGGTATCCTTCTTGGCGTGTGTACACATCCGTAACGACCAGAGTGAATATCCTCCTTGGTGCACTCGGTCAACATTCGCAATCTCATTATCCTTTATTCTTATCTTACGAATTGATTAACACTTGAATCGCCCTAGTGATTTTATATTCAATTTCTATACCTTATTTTTATCTACTCTATTAGATGCAAATTGTAATTTGAAAATTAGTCATTTTGAACTGTACCCTAAATTTCAAATATAATTTTTATCAGCAAAAATTATCAATTTTATCAAAAGTGCAGTCATTAAAATATTAAGTATTCTCATATTTTGTAAAAGTTGATTTTTCAAATAAAAAACTGAATTTTAAAAGATAGATGAAAAATTAGAATTGGCTTGATAAGAATTCGTTTGAAATTCAGACTTTTCGCGAAGGTTTATTTCTATGGAAAAGAAAAGCACTACCAAGCAGCTGGTGGTAAGTGTTTTCTCTCCCGTGAATAAAGGCGGGCACAATTCGCCGCAAGTACCGCGGCGAGAAGGTTCGAAGATTATAAAGAGGAACGATCTAACGTGAGCGTAGAACCATCCTTGCTTGCAGTGTCAACCCACCCAGCAGGTGCTCTCACGAGATTTGCTTGTCGGAGCTTATGAGCCAGCGCCTACTCTACACCCTCAAGAGATATTGATATCATGACTATTGACATTCTATGGACACCTTCGAGATTCTATCGTAGCCGATGCAATAAAAGCTACTCGTGAAATGAGAAAATGTTAACTCTTTTATGAATAAAAAATTCACGTTTTCTATTTTCAAACATCCCACGATCCTTTATCTTTTATCGACTGTTCGAAATTCAAACTATGCGAAAATAACAAGTCTTATAAAATATTGCACCGTATTTATTAGAAATGAGAGATTATGTTAAAATAAGAATTTTCTATTGCAGAGTGTTATCAAGTCTCGCAGCTCATATAAAAAATAATTTTAATCACACTTGATTTTAAATTGCAAAGAGTTAGAACGTGAATGCAGGCTGAAGATGAATATCTCCCCTACCATTATGATACCTGAATACGTGACTTCATTAACCCTTGCCCTGTGATAACTAATAGTCTGAATATGACACACGCGAATCCCATTTGCATTACAATTATGCCTTAATTTTACCACGATTGTGCCTTAACATTCGTGTTTACAAAACTCATCTTTCATCACCTTTCAATTGTAATAAAGGTACGAAGTCAACCAACGGGGAAACATTAAAATATCATCGAAGATTAAAATGAATTCCACGTGAAAAGGTGTTTAGCATAAAACTTTCAACCATACTCTGTCGTAGCTCGGTAGTTTCTTGAATGAATTCGAGAATCACGTTCTCCAACTGATGCGAGCGCCGCATAAAACGTTCGTTTGCTTAATCCGCGACTTGTCGGGTGGCCAATTATTCAAATATAATTGAATACATACATAGGGAATTAAGAGGGCCAGGATGATACCGGGACAGGCGTTCCACGATGATATATACGCGCGTAGCCGCGAATCGAGCGTTCGTTGTTCGAGCTACGGCCACGAGACAGGACTTTCTTGTCCTGTAGCAATGCAGAACGCCTGGTTCTGCTCTTTTTCCTGCCGTTCGCGACCCGTTCCACGAGCAAAAGGACTCTTCAAAATCGTTGCAATAAAAGTTGAGTGCATCAAGAAAGTGGACCACCTCGAGACACTCGCCGACGTTTCTTCTCGGTCCGTCTCGTCGCGTAATTAAATTGGATTATATGAAATGATACAGGCTATCTTCGAACTG